GACTCACCTAGAACCCAGCTGAATCTCTCGTTTGTGATGTTTCCAGGCAACTGAATGTGCTGCACCAGGCCACCTCATGTTTAAATGCAACTTTCCGTGATTCTTTAGATGGTCACCAGGCTGGCTTATTAGCTGGTATGCTGAACCCAATTTTGAGTATTCCCGTCTTTAGTTCCACCAGCGAGTAGATTCAACAACGGGAATTGCTTTTCCTCTTCAAGATCAGTTGTAAACTTGATATCTTCGGATGTAGTGTCGTGAATTTATGTATTCTTGTCTGTTTCGTAGTGAAGAGAATATCGCCCTCCTAGCTGCATCAGAGTCGGGGTTCGACTGTCGGCGTTACGATCTATTCTGTATCATTTCGCTGACAAATCCGAACATTTGTGATCCCACTGGAGTTCCTTTCAGTTGTTAATAAATTTGTCCGCCAAATTTGAAACGCAAAATCCCAGGGGCTTCCGTATGGTTTACGGTTTCATAACAGTTTCGTTTTATTCAGGTGTTTTTTTTCGCGTAATTTCATTACGGTGCGTCTAGCTAGTTTGAGGTTGATTGGTGGTGAACCCAACATCAAAAGGGAGCATAATTGCATCATCTTCTACCTTTATGTTCTACAGTTTGTTGAAAAAATATCCAGCACTATGCATTGTGTGTGTTCTGATCCAGCAAACAAATTCTTTACTCAACAGATCTTTCTCCAGCTTCCGAGCTCCTGCTGGTGAGCAGATTGATCTAAGTGGCATTCTCTCCCTCTGTATTACCGGCGGGCCTCAGAATTGTGAGATGTGGTCATCGTCTGTTGTCATTTCCTGCCGTTCTTGATTGGTTAGCTGGTCAGCTGACCAGCCCTCTAATCAGTCAACGTTTGTAACTTTTGACCTTGACTTCAACCATTTACCGACCAGCAGGATCGATCATCCGAACGACCAGTCATCGTCACAGATCGCCCCCAGTTGAAGAGACTTATACAAACACGAACACGACAGTGATCAACGTATTCACAACGGACGAATGCGCACTGATGATTCCACCTCGACCTATGACAGAATGTCTGCAGACAAGCTGCAAAGAATGCGAGCCATCAACACGGTCTAAGCTACTAACGTCTCTCTCACTAGCGCTCGAATAGTCACAAATATCTAGACAGTGACGGACACAATGTTTTGGAGACGTCGCAATACCAGTCGCAGCAATTGATTAGTAAGCTTAGCCAGTCGGATTGGTACTTATCATTGGATGACTTTTTTTATACTCAGCGGTCAACGTTATTCACATTGCCAGTGAGTCTATAAGAGTTCGACGGTGATCAGGTGACTGTTGAGTTGTTCGCCAAGCTTGGCAATTGATTTGAAAACGTTTCGTCACCATTTAGGGGTTGGTATAAATAGTTCTGACAAGAAACGAATTGCATTGACAGCCCTGTTAGGTGAACCGAGTTCTACAAACTCCTGCAGCCACCAACTCCTGAAGCAAAAGGTGTCCGGCAGGTTTCAAACGTCTGTAGTGCTTCCTGACTGGCGGGCCGTCGATCGACTCAACCAAAGTCTCTTACTGGGTCACCATCCGAAGTGTCGGGCGTTCTGCTCACATCACTGAAGCGCTAACAGGATAACTTATTCATGTTCGATGACCTCCAATGTGTAGACAGAAAACAAACTCCCAGAAAGAGGTCTTCAAATTGTGGCTAACGAGCGGAGTTAGTTTTTTAAAGTGACGCAACAAAGTTGTTGTATCTGTTGATTCGCCAATCTGAGGTATCTGCTGCTAACCTGCCTCAGTGCCCAGTGCCCGAAAAAAGACTCACAGAATGGAATACCACAGCTATATTCCGAACAAGCGTGTGAGTGCGTGCGAGTGCGAGAGCAAAAGTTACAACGGCCCCGCGCTATTTAGATGGGAGTTTCTGACATTAATTTAGATGGTCTGGTAGGCGTTAGTGAACACCCATCAACATCGGTCGTGCCCCTATGAAACGCCTGAATGCTGATCACATTCGGTCGTGCTTGTGTTGTGTGCATGAGCACCCATCGGCTTTTGCTGAATTGACTGAATGATTGACTAGCCTGGATGCTTGCAGGTTTCCTATTAAGATTTTGGTGGTTTTAGGGTCTCAGTAGGTTCCGGGGTTCTGAGGTTACTTTCAGGAATCTGACCTTTCTGATAAGTGTGATCGAAACAGCTGCATAATCAATGGGCCATCGTCTTCCGAAACAGTGACACACTCCGGTTTGCACTTTCATAAAATTACTCGAATGCTGAAGCACTGTATAGCTTTTTTATCCTTAGGTCACGTCAACAGTGGGCGTCTCACGAAAGCCCAGGATATCTCGAAGTTCGCGGTTTCAAAACTCCCAGAATTTTCGTGAGATGCGCATTCTAGATGATTCCTAACAAGGATGAATCAGCTGCATAGGGCTTCTAAGCTTTTCAGCATAGATTAGTTTCACTTATAGGACGAAACCTCATCAAAACTTCCCAAATCTTCTCATATTACAACGGTTTGCCAGATTCTCTCCAGGATCGTGGGTTCCCTGACGTTGGTGAGATGCTCACGATAGGAGGTTTGAAGAACTGTACAGTGTATAGACTGACTTCATTGAGAGAAATTGATTGATTGGTTGTATAAAACAGCCAGCGCGGGTAATTTGTTCCCTGAGGTGTTGTGTAAAGTGTGGTTTTGATCAAGCTCACTCCATCGGTAGCACTTCACGTGACCTTCAGGTGTGAAATGCTTAATAAGCCACGGTAAACATCATTAGAATTATTTAGTATTTTAGCGAAATACTCTCATTTGCATAGCAGTTTGGTTTTGACGGGAGACTCACTTGGAACCTCACTGAATGTCTCGATCACATCCCCAAAGAAGTGTTTCTGTAAGGATTCTGAATAAATCCATTCCGAACACCGGGAAAATTCATGTGTAAACGCACGAGCGGGCGGAAACACTCCAGACACGTGAAGTCTTGATGAAAATTCACCTAAACGATTCCTCAGTACGCTGAATATTTCAACCAACCTAATTTCCAATTTATGTTGCTTGGTCATCGCTATCAAACGTGGCGTGCTTGTGTTTAAATTGATGGATGAATCGATAAACCTCCTGCAAACTGCCTAAGATGGCTTGACTATTTTTAAAGCTTTGTCAGCCATTAACTACTGTCTGGAATGTGATTTATGGATCTAAACTCTCCTTCTTCAAGCGATATATCAAAAACGCTTGTTGCTTGTCAACAAAACACGAGCGTGTCTTCAACGGGTTTGCGTTCTACTCACTACTTGCTTTCAGAGTCGGTTTTCTTGAGCATAACTCAAAATTCTTGCTCACTCACCTTCGTACACGCCTTCAATGTAATCGCATAACTCCTTTTCGGTTCCAGACGTGAGCCAATCAGTCGAGTTTCGTGGGTCAGCGAACGGCGGCGTAATATGGGCTTGCTCAGATCAATATGGAATACATGTCTGTATTTCGCGTTGGATACTTGAACGGAGGACCATTGAGCCAGAATGGTTCTCTCCATTTTCGATCCCAGTGTGACCGCCATTATTTCGTACTCGACCGGGTTTATAGAATTTTTGATCTCCGAGACATGCTCAACCGCTGCACAGCCAATCCGAACGTTCGGTGAACTAGGGCGAGTGACACCGGTCTGAGTGACCCATGGTGGACGGACGTTGAATTCAGCTGTAAAAAGATTTAGGTAGTTGTTTCGGCTAGTGAGTGGAACCGAATTGAACGGTAGAAATGGCAGGCTTTCGGAGTGTTTATGAATCCTCTCCTAAGAGCAAAGCCGTTGAAAAAGTGCAAAGCCACAAAACCAGAATGGTAATTTCTTTTGACGGAGGCTATTCCCAGCTACCAAAAAAAGATACGCTCGGTAACTTATACACTCGCTATTTCATTGATCTGGAATAGAGGGATTTCGTTCTTTTCCACAGTTTATTTCGACTCAACTGATTTTGGTCCTAGTTAAAGGTGATACGGTTCCACTGTCATCTCAGTGAAATCTCAGGCTATTCCGTTTGAATCCCACTCGGTGAATATATTGAATCAGATATGGTTTCGTTTACACAAATCACGAGCGAAAGCCCAGACCGCGGATCACGCTCTAAAATGTGTTCAGCCAGGATTTGAGCTGTCCACCGAGGTTATGATCATGGTCTCGCAGAAAATGGCTTTATATATTAGAGACGTAATTTTCAGGCATAGGTGCCCTAACCATTGTGACTTGAAGAAAATCATCGGCCTTGGAAACTCTGACCCACTGCCAAATACTCGCCTGCATGCCACAGTCACTTACAGCGTGTTCTGCAACTGATGATCAACTACTTGAATATATCTAACTTCTTTGTGTCGCACGGGTTTCGCAACCACATATTGCAAACACTACCACTGTCATTTTGTGATCTTGGCCGTTTAGCCTCATCTCAATTTATTTCTGACACCAAAGATGTCACTGCTTGTACAGTGTGTGCGATAACTTCATCTGTCACAGCGCAGTCATGGCTAATGCAACCGTCCAATATTCCAACCTTTCTACTTCAAAGGGAGGAGATGTTATGCCTGTGGTATCTGCTGCTGACCCGCTCCAGTGCCTATTGTCGGAGAGAAAAAGACTCACGGAAGGGAACACAACAGCCATACTCCAAACACGCGAGTGCGAAAGTACGGCGGCCTTAAGCTATTTGTTGGAGGGACGCTGTCTGAACTTAGTTCAATGCTGACGCACGCGGTCTGGACTTGATACAAGGCAGGGACGGACTGCATATTGAGGGGACGTTGTCTGCCCACTCAGCATCTAGCGGAGCTGTGTGTTTCGGTAGATTTCGGGCATTCAGTGGTTGCTTTCAGGAATCGGAGCTTCTTGCTAAGAGAGTAGTGGAAAACTCCAAGACTTTGCTCTTTCGAGGCGAAAACGGTATGCTGAATCAAGGAACCATATTTGATCCTCCGTTTAGAATACTTAATGTAGGCTGTGATTATCAAATGGCGGAACAGTGTCATGCCTAAATTCAAATTCCACTAATTTCTCTCTAGATGTGATCTTGATGTTCAGTTTCTTGGACAATTCACTCCTTGATTATGTTATTGACAAAATCGGACAAAAATGGTGAGGTTAGTCACTCCTGCCCAGCTTCAGTAGACGTGGGAAAATCTTAACTTCAGTTGCGAAGAGATTACGGACAGATCTCCGGAGCACTCCCCATTGGCTAAGTATATGTAAGGAAACCGATTGATTCTCGGGGATGGAGGCCTATTTGAAGATAAGGAGGACCGTCACAAATGACTGACAGTAGTTGTGCCGCTGGCAAGATGAAGAAACCATTGCTCAACGACGTCTCGGTGCACAGCTGAATGCAGATTGCAAGGAGCACATGGGCTAAGGTACTGACAAATAGCTCAAGCCTAGACAGAAATACTCTAAGAGCCAGGACTGGGCTAGAACCACTGCTCTCCCGGTTAACAGTTGCGTGTCTGAACTATCTCCAGTTCACACATTTGATGTTATGTGAGGATGTGATCGATACACGTCCTACCTGGTTCCCTCGAAATCTCATACTACTTGATGAGTCCAGCCATCGCAGTTCTGGTGAGGTTTGTAGGTGCCTTGCAACTCCAACAAGGCCTTTATCTATATAACTGGATCAATTGTTTGTGATATCTTCACTCATTACACTGATCGACAGGTCCCAGTTCTGTGGAACACGAGTCTAAGCAACCCAGTCATGGTAATGTAGGAAAAAATGAACACCGATGATGGGAGCTCCTCCGGTTTTGGAGCATGGTAGCGTTTGAAGGTCAAAACCAAGGGAACGTCAGAGCTCTCATAGAACAGCTCTAGTTGGCTGTGTCAAATGAAGTATATGGATAAGGAATAAAAATCCTTGAAAATGGCGAACCCAACTAGGTTGCACTATACCTCTGATGATAAACCAAAGATGGGGACTAGTTTTCCTGGAGAGACTTAACTGAATCTCTCGTTTATGATCTACAAATGAATGTGGTGCACACAGGCCGCCTCATGTTTCAGTTGGCACGATATTCGAGATATCACAGTATATTTTCACAAAGGAAACTACTCACAAGGTTGCTGAAAACTGTTCGACAGCCCACGACCGGTTTCGCCCTTCTTGGGGCTCATCAGGTAGGCACAGTCCCTGAGTTTCCCTCAACCTTATGTTCTACTTGGTCTTTTTGTTCATTAGTTATTTTCAGTGCTACCTCTGACGAATCCATTAATAACCGGTGCGGAGAATTTTAGCTTCGATTGAAACCGAGTGGCCTCAGTAGCTCAAGCTGTTCGGATCCACGCATGGGCTAGATTGAAAAGATTGTTTAATTTGTGTGTCCCTAAGCCGGCTTAGTGAGCTTTTTTTCTCCCAAGAAGACACCAATGGTTTGGTTTGGTTTGGATCGAAATGAAGAACCCATAAAAATCAGTCGTCATAGCTTCACGATCTAATTAATATTCGTGGCTGTAGTTCAACGGTTGTCGATTGGTAAGGAGATACCAGGTAGTGCAAAGATGTCTACTGCTTCTTTGGCTAACGCATTTGGAAAACAACTGGTGATCGGTACAAAAGACAATCACCATCCCCCCATTGTGTCCTGACTCCAAGTTAGGCAGGCTACCGAATAGCGTCTCTGATCTACGGAGACGTCCTGCTTGGGAATCGGGATCGCCAACGAATAGCACAATGACTCATTGGTGGTTAGTTGCCTTTCACCGAATCAGAGCTACAGCTGGTTGATGTATATGTAGAAACTACAAATGAAGAGGAGAGATACTATTTGGCACATAGAGGTTGGCAACCGAACAGCGTAAAAAGGTTTGTTTTCAGGGATCCTGTGAAGTGGGGAAGTCACCCTTCGGAAGCAGAAAGCTCTGACGGAAACTGAAATATACCACCCTTGCATAAGGGATTATCGCAAACCGTGAACACCTCCCCCCTGAAATATTTGGTCAAACCAAAGGGAAGCTCACTAATAACCACGATCAATCGTAGAAAAGCCGATCACAAAAACAGTGGCTGCGATGATGAATGGTGTGATTTGTGGCAAAAAAACATCGCAAGCAAGCATATGGTGTACCGTTTGTTCGTACGCTTGCCCTTTTGCAATGTGCACTAATCCACCAAGGCCCTCAGGGTCATTCTGTTCTATTCATTTTGGGTGTCCGGCAAAAGCTCTTCACAACGGGGCAGAGTGGTGAATTCTGTCCGATTAGTCCAGCAGCCAGTTAATTACAGAGTGGGAAGCATAGGAGTGTGAAAGCATGAAAGCAGTACGTACTCGTTAAATAGCCTTTCATCTACATAAGCCTCAGGCATATTTCGGGCCATGGCAATCTTGTTATCTGGAATGCCGGATGGCCTGGAAAATTCTCCGTCTGGCGACTGTTAAATCACACACAAACGAATCCATTGGGCTTTCCTTGATGTACTGGCACGGATAACGATGGAACGCAGCGTTCCCCATAACGACGGATATAATGGCCTACACCGTGAGAGGGACGTTTTTACACGAAGGTTGCAAAACGCTGGAAGCATGAGCCAAAGTTTTCAGGTAATTCCTAAGGGGGACGGCTGTGTTAAACATTGAAGTTTTCTTCTGGAGGTTGACTTTAGTTACCCGATTTGTGGAACACTGCATCCAAGTTACGGTCAACAATTGGGAAGAGTCAGTGGTAGTTGATGAACGAAAACCGGTTGGACAAAAACGAATTAAAGTAACAGATGCAACGTATCGGGTAACAAGATGGGATTTCGATTGACATGCAGACACAGAACTAACTCTCCAGGTGAATATGAAGGGAAGAATGGCCTTACTTTGTCACTTGAAACGTTCACCATAATTTGTTTGCGCACAGTCTAAACCCACTTGTCTGGAACGGTTGAAGCCGAAGTTCTGACGCTGCATCCACACTGCCGAGTGTTCGTTTGCGTTCGTCTTGACGCTTGGACAGTACAGTTGTGCATAATTCCTTGTTATGGCGCACACATCCCATCAGAGACAGATGTTCAGTGGCTACACCTCGTAATTCTAAATCAGTGCGTGGCCATCACTTTGTCCCGGATAATGAACTCGCCGGATGGTAAACTTAGTTCGAATCGGAGGTATTAATCGAAATATATCTTTACGCGCAATATTAAATAGGCTGTGGTCATCTTAGCCTGAGTTTCTCCTCAGCAATCCTGAAGCGCTGCCGTCAACCACTTCTGTGTGCGATTGTTTCGTAACCTAAGTTGGACTGCGCGCACTTGCTTACGAATGCATCTGGTAGGTGCATATAGCTCGGTCAGCACTCAACCGTAATGGTCAGTATCACAACTGAAGGAATATTAGTTATTTGCGTATGCGCTTGACTGTATGGGTCACTAGGATGACACGAATTTTGTTCGTCATCACCGCTGCCTTCTCGGTCAACAACCACCTTGCCAACACTGTACATAAAAGGATAATCGATTATTTAGTCTTGACTGGCTTTAACCTAGCTACTTTTAGTTGTGGTGGCTCACAGTGCCAAGAGCGTTTGAAAGGCAATCAAACGGTCGGTGCCTGTGGAATAAGAAGAGTGTCGTTCACAAAATTTCGACCCCAGTTGTTCGGTGATGCTGTATGCTGACTGAATGTAGAGAGTGGTAAGTATATGGTTCACCTGAGTGCACAGACTAGCTCATAGGAGGCCCCCTTAACAAAACAGCACGGAGGTCAGTGAGAAACTCCCAATTGCTAATCACTGTTAGCCGGTACGTATGTGTTTGTAGGGTGTCGCAATCAGAGTTAAATCCTCACAAACGTATTTCAATAAAACCCCTAGCGTTTTGCTAAACGACACAGCGAAAATGCACACAAACCTTCTATTGTTCGTATGTTTACGCTCCCCTCGACAAAACCGTAACAACCGACGGTACTCACCTGTTTTTGGGGTAGCACAGTGCACTTCTTCAGGTATGCCGTACAAATCAACCAGTGCATCTTGGGTGAGAAGCTGAGTTGGTTTGATCATCGGTCGGACAACTGCTGCATACACGGTGTCCGATTGAAGCCAGTCGATGATGTGTTCAACTATCGGTTCATTTCTGTCGTTAGTAGGTTGAACAGACAGCTCGCGCCGATTTTGCGATCGCATCTGTCCATAGGTTACCTGGAGAAGAAAAGGAGCGATTGAGGCGAATCCATCGATCTACAGGTTGTAAAGGCTTGATCCATTCGTTTCATTTGAACAAAGTAGCATACAGATGGGAACAGCCAAGAGCGAAACATCAGCACCGCAGAAACTGTGTTTTATGAATGAAAACATAGTTCGCAGTTCGTTGAACACGCATGTGCTTCTGCTTTCCCGCTTGATGTTCAGAGTGAGGTACATAACAGGTAGAAGAGCATTCTTGCATCTTCATTAGAGAAACCTGTGTACAATACTTCATGCTGATTCTGGTGCGCCAGGCTTGGAATTTGGGCCCGGGTCACCCTAAGACTGACTCACAATTTTATCCAGACCAGCAGAATGAAGAGTTCCGAAAAAACTACTCCTTGCTTCTTCCTACTAACACTATCCGACTGGGTCCCTCTTTGGGGCAGTGGACAATTAGTGAGCTTAGGTGATGACAAAATGGAGACAGTGTTCCACGGAGGATATCGAAATAAGAAGGTGGTCTAGTCCACTGGATTGACTAACAACCGTTCGAAATGATGTGCGGAAGATGGTCGTATCATTCAGATGATGCTCAAGAAGTCTTCAGTCTCTCTGTTCGAACCAAAGGCTTTTGCGAACCCGGTTGCGCGTTTATAAGAGCAGGTTTTTTCTACTCAACAGATTTATTACAACCAGAAGGTGAAGGGCAAATTGAAGCCCTCAAAAGTCGTGGTTCGAGAACACTGGGTGCCTAAACTATAAGTATAAAAGACGGATCTTTGTAGGTGTGCTGATGTTTTCTTTAAAATGGTTTGAGATTCTTCTACAACTGACAGCCGCTGACCTCCCCTTACTGGACCGAGTTGTTTAGAGAAGACTTTTGGTGGACCCGGGACACTTTGAGCAACCGAGCCTCGTCATGTTCAACCACGTGACTTCTGCATAATGTTTGTTACTCATTTTGTCATTCATAGATCGCGCAAAAACAATTCAAGGGACTGATGACAGTGTTGGAGTCAATGACTCAAGTAACTGACGGCTTCCATTTTCCCCATGGAATGAAGACTGAGACAGTCAAGCATTGAAGATGACCGTTTTTATAAAGGAACGTCATTGCTCCCATCATTGGGTAATATTGATCATTGTCATTAAAGGTCGATGACCGGGCCTTTTTCAAGATTGGTTTGAGCTACAGTCCAACGTGCCTTGTAGCAGTCACTTCCTTGTTCCCTCAACCAACTTCATATAATTTGTCCAGTACATTCGTATTTACCAGATCACACGAAGCCTTAGCTCCTCAATCACACAAACCACGTGATAAACACTGTCCCGCTCGCGACCTTGACCGACAACAAGTCAGTACCCGTCTCGTGCACATCGAAACGATTCCACGTATTATACACGCGCTCATCGCACAGTCGCGCACGCTCAGCGGGCAGGGAGCCAGCTAACCACTTGAAGTCCACGGACAACCATGGAACACGTGTAGAAACTATACTGCGAAGAAAGCACGTTCCGCCGTCCGGACTTTCACCCAGGGACTCTCACCTTTTGACTTATTCCATTGTTCGCACTGCATTTATTTTGTCATGGAGCAACTAGTAACTCTAACCTACTATGCACCAGTGTCAAACTGTTATTAGTGCATATACCTGTGCACTAAGAATACGAACACGACCTAACAGGAATTCGAAAACTTGAACAATCCCAGGATATTCTTCTCCTTGAAAGGTCGGAGTTGATAGACCACCTTGCTGTGGATTGTTCATGGGCTGGAGTGACTGGTTTTAAGGGGAGGTTACACTCACCGTGTAGTGCGACAAACGACCGACGTGCATTCCTGTCATTAGTCTCGCCGGCTGAGTCCATGTGAGTTGCATGCTCCAATGTCGCTGCTGGCTGACATAGATAAAGTGGCACGTCAGGTTGACCACTCCGATTGCACTTCCAGGAGAAGTGTGGTGGGTATGTACTACATCGGACCAAGTGCCTTCGTGCCCACCGGAGCCGATCGAACTGACCCGAACTTGGTATCCATCCGGATGTGGATTTGCCGATTTCGGCTGAAATTAACAAACGAGATAAAAACGGGTGGAAGCTTCAGCATACTAGCTAGGTAAAATACAGTGGTCCCACCAGTGAGTATGGGTCGAATACCAAAAAGACAAGACAAGCAATTCTCTCTCTATTCGTCACTGCCGGTGAAGTGCCAGACAACCACTTGACCCGGAATGTGTGTGTAGGATAAAACGCATGCATGAGGAAAGCGACAAAAGTGAACTTTTAGGGAAAAAATGCTTGTGATACAGAGAGTATTGATTCCGAAATTTCTACTCTGAAAGGTGACTTTGAAGTGAGTAGTGTATTACAAGTATAGATGTATTGCGATATCTCGAATATCTTAGGGACTGAAACATGAGGCGGCCTGGTGCAGCACATTCAGTGGCCTGGAAACATCACAAACGAGAGATTCAGCTGAGTGAGTGTGTTTCGCTAATTTCGTACAAGTTGGTTTCAAGTAGAACATAAGGTTGACGGAAACTCGGGGACTGCGCCTACCTGATGAGACCCGAAAAAGGCGAAACCGGTCGTGGGCTGTCGACGGATTTTCAGCAACCTTATGATAAGTGCATTACAATTTATCCTGTTTATCTCTCAGTTAGGTTATCTCCCAGGAAAATAAGGGGAATATTACGGAACAGTGATAATCGCCAAGTACACCGCTTGATAATAAATGAGTTTTTTTTACCAATGATCCACAAAGAACGATGAACGAACGATAAGGAATAAATGACAAAATGGTAGTGAATTTGAGATGTCGGCTAAGTGAATTGTCGGTATTTAGGGGAGGGGATTAACTTCTGAAAAAATTCATCCTTTGAGTTTCGAAGATGTGATTCCCACGGGTAAGGTGATCAAAACACCAAGGTGATTTAAACGATTAGCTTAAGGTGGTCAAACACTCAACATCGGTACATTTGGATGGTGATGTGGGCTGAACTGTGTCAACTTACATTCAGTTTGAGAGCCCTGCTCAAACAAGTGGGTCTCCCTTTAAAGAATCAGTTTTCCTTGCTTACTTTCAGGGACTTTATGGTTACCTCGATGAACAAAAACGAAATTTGCTTAGATGGAAATGGAAACGTTGACGGTTTCACCCCCAGTTGATTGTGCACTGAAGCGAACCGGAAAGACACCGCGAATCTTTTGGCTCAAGGACAATAGGTTCAATTTTTTGTCAATGCCGTGAACACTGTTGATGATTGTGTGGCAAACACTCGTATGGTTATTGATCCAGTCATTCTCACGCCTCTTGAAGACCAGATTTCAAGTAGGTGGAAGTTTCCCTGTATCACAGTTAACATACATATAGATCAGCCCAACCAAATCCACCGGAGAATTTTCATACAACATAAAGCTATCATGGAATACCAGTGGAAGGAAGAAGGCCTTCGCTGCGGAGTATTTTTTTAGAAAATGCCAATTGACCGGTTACAGACTATTGGACAGGGAAGCAAAACTCTCATTTGCATCTTATTTACAAAAACTGGACATCCACCTTCTCCTGAACGCGTCTTCTTGAACTTTCCTGGATATTCATTGACTCTAATCATCCATTGCTCAAATCTAAGCAACTGTTACAAAGCGGCTCCAAAAATTCCGCAACAGATCTCCCCTTTTCAAGAGACGTGAAGCGAAATTCCAAGAACAACACACACTACTCGCACGCCTCCCCATCAGTAGTATCACCGTTAGACCAGGAGAGTGAGCAATAATATCATTTTCAATTGAATTAATGTTGACGGCGGAACCAGATGAATCCCTCATTTACGATTTTCTTCAGCTGAATGTGCTCCGCTTCTGGTTTCATTTGCTACGGTATTCGAGTTATCACGGGAAATTTTCTGGTTGAAAAATTTCAATCAACCTTATGAGTGAAATCTTCCATCCAAGAGGTGTCTACAGTGACGTCAGAGCACAATGAAACCATGAGCATGTTCACCAATGAAAGTGTAGGTTACATGTAAACGGCATGTGTTTATCAGACCAAGGGTCGTGCAGCCTACCATCCAGGAGCTGGATGAGAAGACATTGAATCCAGGAACAGTAAGCATCGTCAGTGACTCAAGAACATAAAAGGTTGTTTTCCAATTAGAACGAGCTAATGCATGTGAACGGCTGTATTATATATATATATATATATATATATATACATATATATATCGAGAAATACACCCATTTGCATACTAATATGGTTTCAAAGTGGAGGCTCGGTCGAATCCCATTGGAAGCTTTCGTTTATGACATTGCTCAACCAAATGCGTTGCAATGCTTCATCCTCCTGAAGTTGCCTCTTCACAGTAGGACAAACGGATATGTGCCAAAACGTTCTAAACCATCAAAAACCAACTTTGTCCTCTTATTTCCTCGTTATATACTTTAATGGTAACAGTTTGTATTACACAAGGATCCGATTAAGCATAAGACCAACCTGTACACAACCTTTAAAAAAACATGTTTGTTCGCAAGTCAGTTTGTCGAAATCAACAACCAGCTGAAGGCAAAGTATGAATGTCATAAACGGGAGATTCACTTGAGTCTCTCGTGAAAATCAAATTGATTTGCAAATGAGCGTAGTTCTTGAAAACATTCCAGTTTGGGTTCAAGTAGAACATAGGGTTAACGGAAATTCGGGGACTGCGCCTACCTGCTGAGCCCCAAGAAGGGCGAAACCGGTCGTGGGCTGTCGAACAGTTTTCAGAAACCTTGTGAGTAGTTCCCTTTGTGAAAATATACTGCGATATCTCGAATATCGTGTCAACTGAAACATGAGGCAGCACATTCAGTTGTAGAATATCATAAACGGGAGATTCATTTGAGTCTCTCGTGAAAACCAGATTGATTTGCAAATGAGTGTACTTCTCGAAAGTATGAACTTGTTTCACGAAGCCACGGATTTCTTAGGCGGGAAACTGAGGTTGGTGTGAATGCCCTAGGGCGAGGCACAGAAAAGGATCAGTAACATAGCGAAGCCCAACCACAGACGAAGCTTTTCAGGTCAGATATCCGGACAAACGAAACCATAGCAACTGAAGTAATAGGATTGAGCTGAGCAGGATTGAATTCCTCTGTGCCCATCGGTGGTGCCATGCTCAGTCTGTGATCTCTGTTATGAGTGCTGATCAGTGCAGGTCATTTGATCCCCATGAACTACAAACACCTATCCTCTCCTAACATATTTTCTAGTATTTTTTTTAGAAATATTAGACGCGAATTGTGGTAGACGGCTTATGCCTATGTTACAGAAGCTGTCGTTTTTGGTAGCCATAATGAGAAATCCCCCGAACACATTCACTAAGGTTGCTGATCAAAACGATACTGTTAGAATCACCCTAGTTACTAAGATACCACATTGACGGAAGCAGCCGCAAACACGTGCTAACAGACCATCACATTTGTAACAATTTAGATATCTCGTCATGATTTTATTGCTGTGTAGCCTGGGATGTTTCCGATGAGTAGTGTGACAAAGTGACATGATTTGCGTGTACTTTTCAGGCCTGGCATCAATATGGAAATCTAGACTGAATGAACGGCCATTTTATGCTTTTCACGGTAGCGGTTGTTACCGCTATCCGCTTAGTTGACATGTTTTGCCGTGAGGAACATGTGCGAAGCGACGGGGTGTCCGCGTTCTTGAGGTCAGTCAAACTGGGTTCAAGTAGAACATGAGGTTGATGGAAACTCGGGGACTGCGCCTACCTGATGAGCCCCAAGAAAGGCGAAACTGGTCGTGGGCTGTCGAACAGTTTTCAGCGACCTTGTGAGTAGTTTCCTTTATGAAAATATACTGCGATACCAATCAAACTATCTCGAACGACAGTGCCTCTGTCGAGTCACGTGAGTGGTCCCTAATTGCCGCGGACCATAGTTATTTCATACTACTTTCGTGGATGTAAAATACCCTAGGCCACTGACTTTCTCAATGGTCGGCAATACAGTACCCTACGTAAGAGAAGTCCCCACTGAATGAATGAAGTGCCGCTCGTCTGATCGTAGGCGATGGGTCTCTGAAAGAATAAAATAGCTACAGGGCAAACCTGGGCTGCTGAAATGACTTTCACACTGATAGGGAATAGATGGTTATTTTTTAGTGGGTCTCATTTTGCTGCTTCCAAATGGGTCAGTTTCAACCTGAAAGAATAAAATAGCTACAGGGCAAACCAGGGCTGCTGAAATGACCTTCACACTGATAGGGAATAGATGGTTATCTTTTAGTGGGTCTCATTTTGCTGCTTCCGAGTGGGTCAGTTTCAACATTCGTCGCCGGACGAAATACCAGTTTCATTTGAGACTGATTGAACTAAAGGGATGTTCCCTGGTCCACTGATGTTCAGTGAAGTGTTCACTGATGTGCGTCTGAATTCTACGACAAAAGTGACTCTGGATGTGGTTTTGCTCGCTGCGTTTCGTCACCGGTCAAGTGTGTGTCTTTGTTTCGGTGGTGCATAGGAAGACAAAACACTTGCGACAGTTTTTTGTAACAGAAGATAGAAACCCGTCAGTCACGAAAGGGCTCATCTACTTACAAAAGCGACGTGACTTCTGGAGTATTCAAGCGGAAACCGATGACCTCAGTCAGAAAAATAGTTCAGTGTCTCTCAGTTAAACATCCGCTTCACCATGTGATCAGTTATTTACCACAAAAAAAAAAACGAGGATAAGTTACCGGTCCAAGATTCCTCCGCGGTAATATATTCATTCGTTTACGAATGTCCCGCGAAATAATTCTTCGAATGGCTCGATACTTATCTCATGAACTGCTGGGCATATGGTCTTACTAAGCAAAACCGGGCAAGCGGAATACATGATGAGCGCGACGGCAGCTCACCTGATCTATAAGAATCGCCGGATCAGTCCAGCTGATTCGTTCAGCCTAATGTATTGAGCACCACGAAATCGTTCCAAGTTTGTCTGACATTTATTCGGCTAAAGAAGCCAACATTCTGTCATCAAAAACACCACGTCAAAACACTGACCCTGTTTCAGTCAGCCAACCACGATTGTTAATTCAACCCTAGTGGTGTGACCTATTTGCCCCTTTTTATCCTACACTTTCCTCCAACACGCAAACATTTCGACTGCATAGTTCGTTTAAAATTGTATTTGTTAATCGAGACCTTATCGAAAACAACTTTCGAAATACTCAATGTTGTGCAATAACATTGGAATATTCACCTAATGTATGTTGCTTTCTAGCTGGCTTCATTAAAAGTACTACGGAGTCTGACCGATACACAAATGTCAAATGAATTCCGTTTTCATCCCTGAAAACGGAAGTTTACACGTTTTAACGGTTTTAAGGAGGATACCGAATTCTGCACAAAAAGGTATATAAGAGGTAACAGAAACCTCCCTGTTTGAGGTACCAGGTGGTCTTCGGGCGATCGATATGAGATCGATATGTGTTGGTGTTGGACGGCCTTGCCAAATAGATATGTTTTGAATGTCAGCAGTAAGCAGCGATATTTCCTTGCTACTCCATAAATGGACCCTTGGGGTGATTAGGTGCATTATTCAAACTAATGGGTAAAACCCGATAGATTGGTCGACCGGATTAGCTTGATTTGAATTCTATGTTATTGTTTTCCTGGATGGAGCCTTTTCCATTGTCATCCTCCAATAAAGAGAAACAAACCACTCCCTCCAAACTGAGGAGCAAACGCTTTCTATTTTTCTACAATGACTGAATGGCTCACAAACAGTGTCACCTCAGGTCACTGGCCAACATTTGTCAGCTGAGATTCGCTTCAAAGGGTGTAGTATGTAGCAAGTACAGCTGGTGCACTAATATGGAACTTCTTCAGCCGGACGGGATAAAGGGATGCATGATAACCCGGTAGTTCTCGATTTCCCAATGTCGATTGTTACGTATGTAATGTCTTTGTGATAATTTGTGGCTTTTAATGTCTTCTAGTCAAATGTAGTTCCTAACGACCTGGATGACAGCCGTCACACACGTTTATTGATTCATCTAGTATTTTTTGAATCACGAATACGTCGGGACACTGGATGTCCAAAACGCTCGCCTTGAACAAGAGGAAAATCATAACTAGCTGTTGCTGATAAATCCTAAGGTTCCAAAAAATGTGATGTGGTCCTTATTCATAGTCATCCCACAAAAACATACTGCGTTACCCAAATGTTGGACCGAATGAAACTGGAAGCGGTCTTTGGGGAGCACATTCGGTTGAAGAGTATTGTAAACAAGTGCTTCAGCTGCGTCTCTTCTTAGAATGAGTTTTTTCCACTACGACCTTACCTTTCGTACGCAGGTTTGTGAAATTATGTGTGAAGCTACCGATGTAACGGTGGGTCCTACTGATGAAGCTGGCAAGTAGTATGTGGTTTTATCGAAAGTACGCTTCGCGTTTATTGAAAAGTGATATTTATTACGGAATTTGTGGAATCGCTTTGTCTCATTCGTTTACGTTTGAGTGATAGTAATTGAGTAGCCAGGGAAATTTAGGAAGACCCGTTCGAGGACAAGACAGATACACAGTTTTTATAAACAAGATGTATATGAGAGTTTTGCTTTCTTGTTCAATGGAACTGAAACTTTTCAGTTGGTGTTTTCACATGATTAGCTCCGCAGCAGAGACTTTCGTTTCACCGGTACGGCATGGTTAGGGTTTGGGTTTATAACCAAGGGTCTTTGTCTATTTGATCACTTAGCGGACGTTATCACAGACTGCATCAACAGTCCGGCTTCAGACGTAAAAAAAGTGATTTCCGGAACAACCAGTTTTTCAGCCGATTTCACAGAGTATTCATGAGAGGGGGTTGGAAAAATGGCCATAGTGTCAAGGCAACTTACGATGACAAATTCTGTAACCGGGCCGTTGGTCACATGACGTATCCAATTCTTTTGTGACCTGGGGCTTATATAGACAGCGAATCGCTTGTAGATCACTTCAGATGGGACAGATTGATTCGGCACGAGGCTGCTTGGGATTAGGGTCTGGACCATCTGGTGGGGCATGGACCAGCCGATCCTCACATCACCGTTTGGTAAATGGATTGCAGATATGTCTTTTGGAGGCGGCGGAGCGGCTGGGAAATGGGAAAATGTTCAAGACTGCTGTTAGCAAGTACACCGGGGACGCCTTTTTTATCTGCATCATCCATACCTACTCCATCAGTTTTCCAACCAAGAAGAAAGTAGTATCAGCCAATCTGCTGCGATGCACCGAGTCAAATACTTTCACAGAAACTGATTTCAAAAGGACGTCCACAGAAACGAGCTTGCTGTACCACAGAAAAGCAATATTGAAGAGAGGCACTCTCAGACTACACGATACTCCGCGACAAGACAAAACAAGCGACAGGCCTTGACTTCAACGACAGGAGGCAACGATTCTCAACAAACATATCAGACATGCGACAGGCCTTGACTTCAACGACAGGAGGGAGCGATTCTCGACAAACATATCAGACACACCAGCGAAATATCTATTTGCATAAACTTCTGAAACCTCTATAGGGTTTGACATATTACTGGGCTTCTCTTTTAGACACCACTTGAAAGGCTAGCACCAACAAAGGAATGCAATCAATCAATGCAATCGATTAATTCGAACATCATCGTTGACTAGGTGCTCAAGATTGTACTCTCAACTGGTTTCATCAGCACGTACAAACATACTAACATCCTCTTCAGGATGAACACGGTCCATAACGCGCAAACTAAACGGGAGTTTGCTACTTACTGTTCACAAAGTACCATTGCAGTATGGATTTATTTCTGATAACGAAACAGGAGACTTTTGTCTCACAACGTGAGCCCATCGCTCCTGTTCACCCAACGAACGGATGTGATGGGTAAACTTTGTTGACCGTAGTAAAATTAAAATGTAGAAATTTAAACAATAGTTATTTCTCTGTTTTTTTTTCTCCACGGACAAACCATTACGGATCGCACAACTCTGAGTTGGGATAATCGGGGTTATTTGATTGAAATGGACAGAAGAACGTGACAGCTTTTTCCCCCGTGGGGTTCATTAGCTTTCCAACTGCAAAAGCATCACTATCCACACAACAGTGATTCGATAACTACGTCCAGTGTAATCAGAGAGTGGGAATTGCGTACTGTATGCCCCAGAACTAATGTCACCCAGCCCGATATTGTCCCTCAATCCTCCCTTTTGAACAAGGTAGTTTGGTTTCTGACTACGTTCTGTCCCACTCCCTCACATACCCACGGACAAATCACGTCAGTGTACTTTAAAAAAACCTCTCAGCGCTAATGTGTGGAAACGTGTCATTTAGGTCGATTTCAGTAGATTGAGTAACGGTAAAACAGCATCTCACTTTCTGAGTGTTTTGTCGGAAGATTGACCTTTGCCGACCACGGACTGACGCCGTATTTGTTCCTTCCTCTAACCATGCAAGACAGCAAGTCCTGGGTGTTGGAAGTCAGTTGAAGTGCAGGGCCGAGGTTCAGGCGTCCACTTGGCCAGGCGATCAAACTGTGCGAACTGATGCGCAAGTGATTAGGCCACTCGACCTGACTGTTATCCAACGTCACATTGGCCGCACGATGGTAACTTCCAACAGGTTGTGCCGCCTCACATTTGACTTCGTATGCGGAAAACGAGCCATGACGGCTATTCCAATCAGGGGGATCCCAGCTGAGCATCGTTGTCCCCTGTGTATCTTCTATGCCAACATCCGTTGGTCCCCCGGTCGGGGCTTTTGTAAACAAACACAGAGAGGACAGATGTTTATTCAACTTGGAAGAAAATCAATGTGCAGGAAAATTTTATTTAGTCATTTTTGCGGCTTCATTTATGGTTTGACGGGTTGAAATGTCATCATGGAACACACGCTATTTCAGTTAAGTTCGTCCTCAGGATTAATTCTGAGGGTTCTTCAGTTGTTATTTACAAGTCAGCATGAACTCACAAAAAACGGAATGATATTCGACGGATTATCGATTGCCCGGTGGCCTAACTATGCTTTGAAATCGATGATTCGGGCTCCTATGTCAGCTTTATCAAGCAAGAAGGAACGTGTCCTGGCGTGCTTTCCAGAAATGCCTATCTTAGGTTACCTGGTCACCAATCCGAAAACCCAGCTTGCACAGCACTCTCTTTCACTCATTTCTGGCTGGGTACCTACTCCGTGTGAGGGTCTCGTCCCTACAACTTGGAAAGCTGATTCGAGCCCATGACCAGTAAGGCTTGATTCTTTCCCTCGCATACAAAAGGCATGTGCAAGTACCCGAGGATAGGCTTTTTCCTGATTCCGAGTAGCACAGCAACAGTCGAGGTCCAGTACAACAAAGGGATTTGAGGAAGCACAATGTCACGCATGAAGCGAGTGTTACTCACCTGATCCTTCCAAGGCGATCAATTGAATGGCTTCCTGTCCAGCTTGGATTTTGGTGATTACGGCCACCCGAAACTCGTACGTATTACCCAATACTGTCACAAAACAAACGGGAAATAATGGTCAAATGGGACTCAGAGGAGCGGTTACTATAAAGTACTCATACCAACCGCAAACAAATTTCATGTTGCTGACGCAGGCGGTTGTTATAGACTGTTCAACGATCCCAACATTTAGCCCGGCACTTTGAGATATTGTTTGGCACTGAGCATCCGCTCCGTCATCTACACATCTACTCTACAACCTCGGATAAGGGACATCCTAATTTCTTATGCAGGGACATGTATGCCGCAGATGTTGGCTTTAACAATTTGGGATCCCAACTGGCGGATCAATCGATCGTCACAACTAGGACAGTTACTGGGTCGTCGTTTGATGAGTCGGGCACACCAATCACATCGTTCAAGTGGGAGCACGTTCGCCTGTTCAGATGTGAAAATTCAGATGCATCCAACGTGCGTTAATGGAGTAGTGGTTACACGCTCGCTTCGCATGTCAGATGTCCGGGGTTCGAATCCAGGTACAGCCATTGGATATGCACTGCTAATGAGCTCTAATAGGAGCGAACCTCGAGTCCAGTGCTTCCCTACTTTGGTGTGAACTCACCGAAATAATTACGCCAGAACAGGAGCACGACCGTCCGAACGAGAGTGGTGTGACTAGGAACAAAAGTTAGGGATCAGCTGTGTGAATTTCTGGGAGAGGATAAACGCTTTATCATACTCTAACAAGGTATTTGAAGCCTTGCATCATGTTTCAAAGTTGGCCTAACCATTGGTTTTGGGATCGACAGAAGTAAAGGGAGAGTAAAAGGATCATCGGACGATCAGCCTATCAAGCGGAACAAAACGGCCCAATCACAACGGAGCAACAGAACTGTCTAAACGAACGCACTTGACGAATAAACCAGATACAAAGAAATGAGATAATAATTCGACCTAGATTCCAAGCTTACCAACCAAATTACTGGAAAAGACACATAGGGACAAACCAATCAATTTTAGGACATCCGTGGGCACAAACAGAGGAAGAGGAATTCACCCACTCGACCCCGCACTGACGATGTCACCTAGATTGGTGATGAACCATTCGCAATCCAACTAGCAAGACCAACAACCAAGTGCGTACACTCACAAAGGTTCAAAACTTAGTAACATGATGAAAACTTGAAGAGATTAGGTAGAGAATTTCCAGAATGTCCCTTTTGAGTAATTTAGCCAACAGAAGCAGGACAAAGTCGAGATTACCCTAAAGTCTTTTTGTGCGTACAAAATGGATCTGCGCCAACTGCATAACAACGCTTTAGGAAACTTTGATTCCTTTGGTTGTCTACTTCTGGTAACAAATTCACTTGCAGCTCAACCTCATGCCTCGGTTTAATCAGTTAGCTGTGACCTTGGGATTGATTTTAGTGAGGATTAGGCAGAGAAACAAACTAATGGTTCAGTGTGCGGCCGACGTAATCTGGTAGGAGTACCATGCAATTAGCTCTCGTTAGACTCACACAGGGTGGCTAATTGTCTGATGCACCATCCATCCAGACAGGAGGAAGGATATTAACCTTTTTGGGATAGAAAAAATTCCCCATGTAAATGAGGCATTGAATGAACCAATCACATCGCTCAAGCGTGAACAAGCTTGCCTGTTCAGATGTGATAATTCAGATGAGTCCAGCTTGCTCTGCTGGAGGAGTGGTAACATGCTCACCTCGCATGTCACACATCCGGAGTTCACTGCCAGACACGGCCACAGATATGCACTGTTGATGAGAGCACTGATAAGAGCGAAACGCCAATCCAGCGCTTCCCCCTGTGGTATGGACTAAACAGAATAATTTCGCCCGGACAGGGGTAGGGCTGGTCAAGCGAGAGTGATTTGCGTGTGAATCCCGCAACCAGCTACAGCCATGTGAATGAGTTGACGCAATCGGATTTTATTGCAAAAGACGGATGGCTGCTATAAACCATTTGCACTACATATCATGATAACCTCAAAAAGTCGAATTTCGACAGCACTCTGCTTCATTACTCATACGCTCTACTAAAAGAGATCGTGGGAGCAAAATCAATAGAAATAGGCCTTTTCTGACGAGTGTTCTATCCTGGAAGTTCTTCGAACACAGAAGCACGACCGAATGTGATCAGTGCTCAGACAGTTCAAAGAGGCACGATCGATGTTGATGGGTGTTCACTAACGCCTATCAGACAGCCTGGATCAAGGTCAGAAAGTTCCCTTTAAATAGCGGGGAGCCGTCGTAACTTCTGCTCTCGCGCTCGTACGCACTGATGGAGCCGTTGTAACTTCTGCTCTCGCGCTCGCACGCACTGACGCTCTCGCACTCGTTTGTTCGGAATATAGCAGTTGTGTTCCTTTCTGTGAGTCTGTTTTCTCCAGTGCTAGGCACTTGAGTGGGTTAGCATCAGATCCCACAGATTGACGAATCAGCAGATATAACAAGAAGTATGCTTGCTATAAGCACCTTTAATACCAGTGAACTTTAGTTCGTATTCAGAAACGTAAACAAACGTTCATAGACTATGCAGGACGATTGCTTCCCTTTAACCTCCTGACCGGATCGCTTGGGAGTGTTGGGGCAGGATTTGAGTGACATAATATACATGCACAGTAAACGGGGAACTTACAAAATTGTCCTGTTGGTGAGTTCCAGCTCGTTGCCGTTGTGTTTATCTCTCCAGCGTGGTACTTCTCAGGAATCAGCTCATTCGTTGATATGGCTTCCTTCGTATCCCTCACCAGTGCGCTGCCATTATCGTGCTTATTCGTCCAAAATAACCACCGGTCAGTTGTCCCGTCGGACCGATAAGTAGATCTTGCTTGACGCAAATGTGTCTGTTCGGGCAACACCGATGACGAATCGGTGAAACCAATCAGCAATCGCCACCGAATTCGATAGATGGCCGCATGTTCAGCGAGCAGGCCCTCGGTCTGCTCGCCAGGCGCCTCCCATGAGGCTTTGATAACAACTTGTGGAGGTAGTTCGAAACCCGTGGGCGGCAAAATCTGACTGAATAGATGCAGTTTCCTGGGAGCCGCTGGGGCTGTAAACAGAGACAGGAGCCAGGATTGACGGTCCTGGCATTGCTGCTTTTTGGTGGACTTCACTAACTTCGTTTCGTTGCGTATCAGAAAAGTTGGACTAAAAGTCCACCAGATTGACACACGAAATGCCATAGCAAACACGATGGGTACAACTTACAAATTTTAAACACATTTTCTTGCAGTGATTTGTCAAAAATAGATCGAGTTACTTCAACATATCAATTGCGCACGCTAAAACCCCAAGTAAAACCCCTATACGATTCGTTTGTGATCTTTATCAAAGTCTACTTGACCTAGGGGAGACTTCAGACAAAGGCTGTTGGCAAAGATTAAGCTGGTCATTTTTGAGTTCTGCTGCTTATGCGTGACATGTGGCAACTAAGCTTAGCTTGTAAACTGCTCTTTCAGTGAGTTGAGTTTTGCGAATATGCTTCTCATCCCAGTGACTTTAATTTCTCACCTCCAATATATCTCTGTAATATACTACTAATAAGGTTGCTGAAAATCCGTCGACAGCCCACGACCGGTTTCGCCCCCTTTTGGGGCTCATCAGGTAGGCATAGTCCCCGGGTTTCCGTCAACCTTGTTCTACTTGAGACCAAACTGCATGAAATTAGCGAATATACACTCATTTGCAAACTAATTTGGTTTTTTCGAGAGACTCACCTGGAACCCAGCTGAATCTCTCGTTTATGATGTTCTCAGGCAACTGAATGTGCTGCACTCTTATGCGTGAAATGTGGCAACTAAGGTTAGCTTGTAGACTGCTCTTTCAGTGACTTAAACTTTGCGAATTTGCTTCTCATCCTAGTGATTTTAATTTTTCACCCCCAAGTTCACCCTTTGCATGCTCCGTGACAGCTGTCAGTTACCATCATCCGAGAGTTTTTAACGTGTGGAGGAAATATATTCATATGCAAATTAAGTGTGTGTGTTTTCCTTCATCATACACTGTTGAAGTCAATGGTGTTTAAACAAACTAATTGGACTATCATTACCATGGTAGTGCGCGGGGGTGTTCGTGCCAAATCTGCCGGTAGTTCGTGAGGCTCTGATGCTTAGCCTCAGAAAATGTGTTTAAGTCGAGGCACCACACGCCTAATGATGCGTGGCAGTTGACACTTCAGAAGAGGTGAGGTTAAACACTTCCCTGTGTTTTGTCTCTGAATGTGAGATATGTCCTTGGAAGAAATGATGGCGTGCGTCACATTCTTATTAGGAAAATGTACAAGAGTTTTTGGCAATACGTATACAAAGGTCTTGTTTGAACAGTTGCATGTCGGAGACCTTATCTTTCTAAGAAAGTCTCACCCCTGTAATCAGACTGAGACTGGACGTCTGAGCAGGTTGATAGAGGTGGTATAAGTACCTTTACATTTATTCCAGACTCCTTGACTCTTGACGGCTCAAATATCGTAGTAAAACAGGCTGACCATGTCCTCTTTAAAAGGTCCTGTTATATAGTGGCTGACCAGAGAACGTTCCGACAGACTATCTATGCTACTTAGTCCAACATTTCTCTCACTGTGAATTCGGTCAAGCAAGCCATAGTCCATCAGCTATGGCGCTTTCCCCGTGTGTGACTGCCATGCAACCGAAAGTAAGCATGAGGGCAGAGATACATGGACAAAAGCACTTGAGAAGCCAAGGATGGGTTCATACTACCGACTATCCGGTAAGTAGTTTGGTGGGGTAATCACTGAGTTATTTTGAGCGGTTCCATTGGGCCAACAACCAGTGCTCTCCACAACAATCACTAGATTACTCAGAGTTGATTTATTCTCATCACGGCCTCAGCATACTCACGTAGATATACAGATCCGGTGACTGGGTTTCTATCAGACACTTGTCAGCTCTAGACACATCTGTGATCAAATCTTTCGTTCTTGTCGCCTATCTACCCGAAAGTTTTTGCGAAATTTTGAATTTCGACTTTATTTTCATCCGAAACCACATTAGAATGCTGTCAACTCCATTAACATATCCCCTAATTCCTCACTAAAACTTTGATCCATTGGTATATGAAAGGAGTTGTACATCTCGAAACGGTTCTTTACGATTCTTTTCATTCCCTACGTACTAACTCAAGAAAGTGGCTTCCCAAGATCCCTTTAGAGAACGTATTCATGTAAACGCTTTACAGTTCCCGCCCTCAAAAGCTCATCGTTATCAATAAATAGGGAAGTTTCGAAAATCTAATCAGTATGAGCCGGTCTTGCTCAAGTTATCCGTGTGTTACTCGATCGCAAATTACCGTTTGTTTTTACAAAAACTTCATCGATACACATTTGTAAGAATTTGTGCCTCTTGTCACTGAAAGACGCATCTGCAGAATAGCCATCTTGTCTTGTCTTGTTGATGATCGATAGCCGGATGTGGCGTTTCCACGTTTGGAGCCCCATACCTCATATTTCTGTCCCGTTTTTTCTAATCATATACACGAGGGACTGATTGTTACCATGCCCGCTTCATTGGCCATGTCTGTCATGTGCCGGTTTCTCTAATCTGGGGCGTCATTTACGGCTTATCATATGATTGTCCTTAACATATGTATATTTGCCTGTTGAGCAGTTTATTGGCCTTCTCAGTTGATTGACGAGGCAACGCTTCATTAGTCTGACCTGGATAAGTATTCAGCTTCTCGGTATCTATCTAATCGCTGTGTCCTTTATACGGGTGGTTATCTGTCGTTTCTCTAGCCTCGTGGGATAGTTCATCTAACTTTTCCGCGGTTACTCAAAGTTGGATTACAGTTGAGCTCTGTTCAAGGTCATTTTGATCTAGTCTGAAACTCTCACGTAGAACTGGTTTACCTGTAGAGATGCAGGAGTGTTTTAGCATATGCTGGTCTTTGATAGTTATGGCGAAGTTCATCGACAGCGTGCAGTTGACTACGCTGTCCTCTGCTGCACTAAACCGCAGTATACTATCCCGTCGCATGCGATGATGTGCTAGCTGAACTCTACTGTACTGTACTGTACTGTACTGTGTCGTACTAAGCTATACTACATAAAACCATACTAGACTATGCGATCATATATTATCCCATACTCTACCATATTCGAGTAGACTACATTATGCTGACGGTTACCACTTAACGAAGTAAAAGAACGAAGTGCCTTGGATCTATATTTAGGCCGATAAATTCAAGCGATTGCTTGGGCATCCGTGAATCTTGTTCATTCTCTAGCTAACAAAGGATGACGTGGCGGTTAGTGTGAGACATACAAACAGTCAAAATGGTAATCAACTGTCGAACGTGTACTGCTAAGTGGCTGGAATGCATTGTATGCTCCCGTCAGTGTATAAGATCAGTTGCCACCCGTGGGACCGGCTGTTTTAGAGCGAATATTTTTTTATCACTTGTAACAGGTGGATCATAAATCGTTTCGTTTGCTCACCATTTAAGCATGCTTGAGTGAATAGGTGCATCTCCGAGACACCCAGAAGCTCAAGTGGACTGAATCACGGAAACTGGTGTGCGGTGTCTTCGGCAGGCGGATGTGACACTCAGGGTGACAGGACATTTACCTAGCAACCATAAGTCATCGGCGAATATGACAGTTGAGGAAGTCTTACCTCAGACAAGTCGGAGTGGTTTCCAATTGTATTGTCACGAAGGACATTTACCTAGCAACCATAAGTCATCGGCGAATATGACAGTTGAGGAAGTCTTACCTCAGACAAGTCGGAGTGGTTTGCAATTGTATTGTCACGAATGAGTAGAGGCAAATCGTAATTTTTCCCCGTCGATAGGAATTTTGATGGTTTTTCACAAATGATCAAAGATAAAAGTACTCATTTCAAGAATGCTATTTCGGTCGAGTATCTAGCAGGCTCGATAACTGAAGCCATGCACCAAGCACTGGACGAATCACATAAAAATCAACAGATTACTTTTGCTGTCCAGTTTTCCGGAGAACATTGTAACTCATGTTTCATTGGTTTTGCTTACGCTGGACGAAATTCATTTGCACGTCCCACTTTCATCCTGGTTATCCTAGACTTGTGCGCTTCAGTGCTTCATAGCTTCTTGTTTCGAAAATTTGTGCTACAACAAGCCATTTTCACTAGTCGGGTGACATCTGTTTGGTTTCTAAACAAAAAACTCAAATTTCTAAAACGTCTTTGTGGCTGACTGTAATCATATACAGTTTTCTGTGCACTGAATCTCGGAAGCGACAAGCTCGGCCAACAACTAGCGGCGTCTCAGCAGTTCAGAACATCCTACAACATCGCTTCATCTAGGAACTGAGCTAAATTACAAGTTACTTTAGGTTAATTTACCACCGATCTAAGGAAATTTTGATTCTTCCATCGTTCTTCGCAAAACTGCCCTTCATCCATTTTTGGTCCTCTGTCTATGGGACCAGCTTACTATTCCTGACAACAGAGAAGTTGGAGTGAAACTATTATTTCGAATGACGTTCACTTCATTCATACTACTTAAATCCTTTCCAAATCTCAAGAATACCAGGAAGTTTTCAATTAAAAAAATCACCTGTGGATGTCTAATGGTCCCCTGGTTTTGTGCACAACCTTGACAGTTGCGCCTCCAAGCTGCGTTGGCAGCTAGATTACCATTCGAGGAAACTTACGTGGTTCCCAGGTCCTCACAGGTGAAGCCACCGCTCTGTCCCCCGAACCGGAAGGGGCCACTGCACGTAGATGAACCACGTAGTAGGTGGCTGGCTGGAGTCCGGATATTGTGGCCGAATACCAGTTGGTACTAGATGCAGGTGTGGCAGGAATAAGACGTCGGCTGAATCCGTGAGTGTCAGGTAAAACTGATGGGGAACTTCCTCCAAGGGACTGAGAGGCCCACATTGCGGAGCTATACTCCGATTGAATCCACCCTCCCTAAAGCAGAGGGAGATGAAATACACCCGGTTACTATTGTTGCAGCATTAGAAACACTGTGTTTCGAGGTGCATGTTTAGTATAACATATGATGTTTTGGGAAGCTTGCAATCGATCTATCTTGATGGTAGAACATGTTATTGTCTAAGGGACTCGTGGTAAGAGACACGAACATCCGCAAAATCGTGAGGTGTTGTAGTTGTAGCACGTTTTCCGCAACTAGCTGCCGTGCCACTGGAAGGAAGCACGAAGGTTTATATGCTACTCAAGTCCACATGCAAACGGCTAAGATATCTGGGCCGAACTCGATTCACGGACCTTCGGGTCAGTAAGTTCTCGCCTTACCCACTGAGCCACGTTAGAATGAAAGCCACTAAATCACGCTATCTCTGATGGAAGTACAAGGTCACTTTCAATATCACTGTTGGGACAAATACTATACTGAAAGATAAGCTAGTTCTCATCTGTGATTTCCGGGAATTTTGTTGTACGTAGGATACTGACTGGACTAGTAACCTGAAGCTTGTCTATTTACTTGTGTTCTCCAGGAAACTAAACGCAAACCAGTTAGGTAGCTCTATTCTTAGCACATAACTACTTCATTTTTTCCGGTTTCCCGCATTTTTGTTGGACGCTTGGGAGTAAAATTTGGTGACTAAACTGAGTGGTAACCACACAAGAAGGAAACATCACAAACGAGAGGTTCAGCTGGGTTCCAGGCGAGTCTCTCGCAAAACCAAATTAGTTTGTAAATGAGTGTATATTCGCTACTTCCGTGCAACTCCGTGGTTTCAAGTAGAACATAAGGTTGACGGAATCCTGGGGACTGCGCCTATCTGATGAGCCCCGAAAAGGGGCGAAACCGGTCGTGGGCTGTCGACGGATTTTCAACAGCCTTATGANCAGCCTTATGAGTAGTACACCACAAACATATACATACGGGAAAGTATTCAAAGTAGCTTCCGGTTCGCTTGACATTACGGTTATCCATGTAAGCAACATAGTTCTCAAACTAGTTTAATCCTGTAAAGGCAAAGCAAAACGCTGTAGTGGGTGGAGCAAGGCATTTCTTGCGACTCCATGCGAAGTTGATTAAGAAGTCATTCTGATCTTCAAAATGCGAATTTCCAACATATGTAACAATGAAGTCGATCCGAATTCCGGACCGCAGTCGCTGAGTTAACATCATAAGCTGGCTTACCAGTCAACAACAAATGACTGATTACTTTGTGCATGTAAAGCACTGTACATCCATTTTACGAAACAGAACTGAGAGTTCACTCAGCGGTTTCTACGGCGATTCATTTTAGATGGTCAACGTCGCATAAACAGAATAGTTCGGCAAAAGGCGTGTGCCGGACTCTGTAGGAACCCAGTAATTACAGATTGGTTAGAAAGTTGTTCAGAAATTCACCAGGATATTTATAAAATTTCAGAAGAGCTTTTTGGAAGCCGGGTTATGAAAACTTAGTTTCTCTATGCTAGCAGAAACCATTGAGTCATGTATGCTGTTTTGTTTGTCGAAGAAGAAAGGAAATCGAGCGCAGAAACTTTCTAGATTTCTCAAAATGAGTTCATCGCTATTGGTTACACCTTTTGGACAATGTTAGGGCGTCGGTAATTGGAACTCCCGTGCTACATTGGTGATGGTGGTAAACGGGAAACTCCTCGGCATCCGCATCACAACAATTCTCCCTTCAGACCGCCCTGTCATGTCTGTCACTTGAAGCCGCCCTTGTTGCAGACTCATGGAGTGTACCTCACATAGTACACGGAAGGAAGAGCTTGTTTGACATCCGACTACTTGCTGGCAAACCATCCGGAGACGTCCTTCGTTAAGTTTAAAGCAAAACATCTCACCCTCGGTTGGGCTTTAATCAATTACCGCCCGTGGTCTACACTATTTAGAGGTAGGCCAGTATTGTTTATTTTTAAACAAAGAGTATTTTTGGGTTTTATTTGTTCGGTAAAATAAAAGGTGTATAGTGGCGAGGACTTCGAATTGGGAAACTTATGCCGCCCGATAGCTCAGAAGTTGAGTTCAGACAGGAGTAGTATGCATTTAAAGTGATTTACTCATGAAAAGAAAGTGTTGGTTCAACCACCCTTGGTGTAATCGAATTAGCGAGAGTTTACACTAGGAAACTTATTCAGAACTATGGGTACATGCTAATTTATTGTCTATCTCGCGGAAGCCCACACAGTTGTACTTGCTTGCATAAGCACTCGTAATCCTAGAAGCCGGGCAGCACAAGACCAACTTGGAGGAATTTAAAATGAGGCTAATCAATACGGCTATCCCCGTCCGGAGGAGCTATCTGAAAACATGGGAAAAGCAGCGTCTATTCTGATATCATATTTTCTGGGAGGGATTTCACATCTTAGGGTCGAATAAAAGTTTACTACTCTGCAGGATTGTTTCCAATAAAGACGAGTTGAGCGCCTTACTATCGATTTATCGACCTCAGCTGAATGGAGGATTGTTTGACTGCTCTCAAGTACTTTGTCTGTCTGAATCTTCCGTAAGATTACGGCGATTGGTTGTGCTGATAATTTCCAATTCAGATGGAGCAGCTGTTCAGTGGCTTTGGAACTTTCGGTACCGTCCGACTTTGCCTGGTGCACGAAACGAAACGCTCAGTTTGCTGACCTGGTTTGGATCTGGTCACCAACAAATCATTGTTTGACTCCAGATTTCAAAGGTCATATCGCCGATCAAGAAACTGCTATTGAGAACATAGCGGTGGTAACACCCATTGCTACGTTCCAGATCCTAAGAGAGATACTGATTTCTACACACAGTCAAAAGCTGTATTGCTTGTGAAAATATGCTTACCAACTTAATTCGATTAAAGGTAAAAAAGATTGTTAGTGAACAGAGTTCTTAGTGGAAAATCAGGTAAACCAGCCTCGTCTAAGCACAAGTCTCTACTCAGTGGTTTACATGATCCATCCAAAAGGGTTTTCGTTTGGAAAGAATATAGGCTCAGGTAGAACATAAGGTTGACGGAAACTCGATGACTGCGCCTACCTGATGAACCCCAGGAAGGGCGAAACCGGTCGTGAACTATCGAAGAGTGTTCATCAACCTTGTAAGTAGTTTCCTTTATAAATATAGAAGGAATATTTAGATTGACACCCCCCCTCCAAGAATATGACATGCCGTGTGTAAGCTGATATTTAATCATGGACTGGCAACCATGCCACCCGAAGTAGGCACGGGGGATGAATTACTGTCAGTTTACCCGATCCCAGAGAGGAGCCCGAGCTGAACTCGAACCATGAACCCTCCGGTCGGTGAGTTTGCGTCCTAACCACAGAGCTACCTGGAGCTGCATGTGGACATAAAGTAGTATTAAGACATTTTGGTACATGTAATACTCATCAGGTGATTCCTTTACAAGAGGAACCATCCTAAACTAAGACCACTATATTTAGGCCTATACGACTCGGCTTTTGCACTAGAGGCTCAAAGCTCACGACACCAAACGAACCGCAGCTGTAAATTCTTCTACAAAAGGTCAGAATGGCAATTCGCAATCTCGATGGTGTTATGTTCCAACGAAATGTGGTATTTGACGAAATGCATGACAGCTAACTTTGTCCCCCGGATGACCGTAGGCTAGACCAGGTGTACAGCATACAGCCAACCCAGTATTCTTCTCCTTGGGATAAGGTCATCGGCTTCAGACCCATCTTCAGAGATGACAGTATATCTGCCCGTATGATCGGAAATCGATCAATGTTTTCGAAGGGCTACTGCGGTTACTACCATTGTATTCTGTCCACATGTGCTTCTGTTCACTACTTTAAAAAACAAAAAATCCGTCTTCTAGAGAATGAGTGGCTTTTCAAGATACAGCCAGAAGTTCATTTCTCCCGATTACCGTAAATAGCCTCAGATCCTGATTAAGGAAAGAACTCCACGAAGAGTTGAAGATAAAATACATTTGTTCTTTGAATAAGATGTATTTAAATTAAAACTAATCGATGCTGTTGTTGAGTAACCCAAACGGGGTTTCGGATTATCACTCCCCAGAGAGGCAGCTAGTAAACAAGAAAGTTTCTATTAAATGACTCAAGTTTGCATTTCCAGAGGGCAAAATCCAACGATGTCATCGCAAATTGTTTTGAGCTGGCTGTAAACGTGCTCACGCGTCGTGTGATACAACGTCAGTCGTCTTGGCCGGACGTGCGACGTCAAAGCAGGGACAGTTTACATCCAAAATCATATTAGCTAAAAACCTTGGTTCTTACGAAATCTCACACAAGTGCGGTATGAGCAAACGGTGAAGCTAACGTCAAAACTAGTTGTCATTTTTGCTGCATTTCAAGCACGTCATCCAAGCAGAAGTTTGGGAGTGCATCACCCGTCTGAACAAACGATAAACCTACCCTATGCAAGAAAATTCGGTTCTGTTGTCACACTAANAACTGAACATCTTTCCCTAAATGGCATTTCCACCCAAGTGCTCTGATTCTATGCGTAGCTCGCGAATTTTGTACAATTTGTATTCAACCAGAATATAAAGTTGACAAAAACCGTAGGACTGAATCTACCTGATCAGCTGAGCCGGAAGAATGGCGAAACCAGTCGTGGGCTGTTGAAGAGTGCTCAGCAACCTTGTGAGTAGTTTCCTTGATGAACATTACTTTTTCTCTAGAATGTGTTACCATAGTTTCTCACCAAACGAAATAACTTCTGAGAGAAAACTAAAGTTCAAAGTAACAGCCTTAAACGCTTCCGAAAAATTGTAATACTTAGAAAGTCGTGTTACATTTGACTAGGTTTTACACATTTTGGTTCTACAGAGGCTCAAAAACAAACACTTGTGATTTGGAACGTTGCAAACTTTCGGAGAGATAGTGCGGTGTAAGCAGGGTCCGAAAATATCTGCCGTATATGCCACAACATAATTGGCTGTTTCCATTGATCCGCTATTACACCCGAAGTCAAGCATGTGACATAAAAAGCAGCACACAGACTAAGCATCCAATGTGAGTGTTGTTCCCGCTTATTGTCAGTCACCTAATCAGAGCGTGTCAAAAGTTCACCACTAGCCTCACTTACTAGCCTACTAGCTATTCGCTAGCTAAAATGACGCAGAAAACTTTGCAAATAAATGACCAGTTGGTAGGTAGAAAACTCACGGTGCTGGTTGAAGAACGCCAGGACAAATCGTAGTATGCAATTCGCGTTGCTTTCGCATCAGCGTGTTGAACTGGATGGCTGTCCTTGGGGGGTTGCCACCATACTTTTAACTCAGAGGCACTAACAGCCTCTACGGTCAAGTTTGATGGCTCAGTCGGAACTGAAAACAAGTTTTATGGGTAGTATAGAGAAAGACAGTTTTTGAGCTTTTTAAGGAAATCAACAGTATGTTGCCAGACATCCCTAATTTAATTTTCTCGGTGGAAGGTGATGGAAAAAAACAGGAAAGGCAGATAATTAGTATCGATCAGGTAACGTAGTAACGTCGCGCACACGGTAGGGAATGATGGCTAGTATATGTGAGCATGAACAGATTACATTGGCTCCACGAGCTGAGTCGTTACACAAGACACACAACAGGACCCGAAAGCCTCAGTCATACGAGGTCCTTTTTGCGTGATGATGAGGCTTTGATGAAATGCTCTCAGGAGCAGCGTCGGTCTCAGGAACCAAGTCAAAGTTCAGACTGTCAGACAGGTTGACGAACAATGAGCAACGATAGTCAACAGCATATTAAGTAAGGTTTTCATCGCTAATCGTTTGGCAACTCAGGTCCACTCCATTGAAGTAATATCAGAACCAACTAATCCTCGTCGCATATGCGGTACATCCTTGATTCCAACTGACTGTTCACGGAATGAGTTATTCGGCAATGCGTTTGCCGATGGATTGTCCGCTTCAGGCCTGGAAGCAGCAGTCCCTGAAGTCGATCTTTTGAATACGGCACAAGCTATCCGACCACGTAGGTTATTCCATTCAGAAAAATGCTTTCACTTCCTGATTCCTGAAACGACTTGTATGCAGACAGCCCCAACAATCGATTTGAAGATGCCATTGTTGAATTCGAACACTGGTCGTTGTAGTGGCACTCCACCAAACTGCATGTATGTTGTATCGCCAACCAAAGGATTTTTTTTTCGTGGTCTCTACAGAGCGAGGGTTAGTTGACAGCGGATTCAACTGTCAATGAGGGTAAATCAAATTCATGTTACAACCAAGGTAACACGAGTAACCAAGTTGAACTCACCGCTCGTTATCCTGCTCAGCCGTCAGAACTCACATGTTCTCAAAATCGTTGAAGCCGCTGCAATCAACGGATGCAAGCCTTCATTGTTTGTCCAAACAAACCCTTGAGTCACCTCTTTATCGACCGATCAGTTTGGAGACAAATAACTACTCCCGTTTTCTTGTTTTTTTTTTCGATTTTGTATTAACAGGCCAATAGGTGCATCTGTCGGTCTCCGTCTCTTAACTGTGTTGTCTGATTTGGTATTTATTTCACAGTGAATTTCACTTAATTTTATCTTTGCTATTCGTTTGGCTTGAAACTTTCAAAAATTAGTTTGCCATATAACATGTAAGTTTGGAACGCGGTTCTGCTGTGTTGTCAACAAGGCTACTGAGACTATGAAACAAGGTGGTTTTCATTCTGATGGAAGAACGCTCCACTGCATGGCTGTTTGAGACTCCAGAAGAGAAGAACGTTTTTTGCGCGCCCCATTAAACACCACGCTTTGGAAAAAATCATGTGATCATCGTCGTTAGATGTGTACCATCGCCGCATGGTTGGGTTAGTGCGCTACGCAGTGCTCAGCTGAGAGAAGGTCAAGTAAGTTTATATCTAATCCTTCCCTTTGGATCATCTCAAAGTGATTTCCAGTGCTCCAGAATGCAATGGGATCACAGGATTTCGTTGGCCAGTGGGGTTACTTGACGGTTAAGATGACGCATTCCAGACTGTGGAGGAACAACCCGATCAGACTGTCACCAAGACCCTCAGATATTAACGGCCGTAATAAAATTAGATCATCCCGAACCAGTCGTACAAAAAGAACTACTTACCGAATTTTTTCGTTCTTCCATAAGTGACGGTCCGGACACCGGGACCCGCGTTTGAAACAGAGCTTAGACTAAAAATGTAGTGGAAATCTGGTTTGAGCTGATCCACGACCAGAGCTCGAAACTTGGCATCCACCACCCGTGTCTGAACCGGTTCAGCTGATCCAGCGATCGGTGTGACGGTCCATTGCTGCAACTGGTCTGCAGGCTTCACCAACGATGATGTGGGCGCATATTCCAGTTGGTAATGCAGCAAAGAACTGCTAGATTGATCCAGTCCTTCCGGGGGGATCCATGTCAAGTAAATTTCATGAGATGATTTGGCCACCGCCGTAAGATTTCTTGGTGGTGATAACACTGAAAAGCGATAACAAAAGAAACGATTACTCTATCCCCCATAACAAGTGAAATTAGTTGTGTTCATTTTACTTTTTTTGCTCCTTATATAATATTTGAAGGCTGTGGATGGGAGAAACGGCCTGGATATTTTTGTGGCGCTTATCGCTTTCGCGAACAACCCAGAACTCAGTTGATTTTATCTTTTTTGGCTTCGATACAGATCAACATAAATGGTTAAACCTGAGTGGAATTTGAGTCAAACTCGCTAGAGATTATTGATTATCATTGGTTAAACTGTTAGTCAGCAAAAAAACAAAGTTACTTGACAATGTTTATAGCTACATTTGTGAAGTTGGTGGGTGAGTGGTTGTTGCTCTTAGGTTCGTACGCATTCCTGTGACGGAGGGATAGATTTTGACCTGTGGTTTTGATTGATAATTGGATGGTTAGAAAAATTATCAAGTTCGGCGAACAGTTCAACCGTACTCATGTACCCCCCTTGACATTAGCCTCAGTCACGGGAACACTGAGGGTAAAGCTAAACTTTTATCTACTCTGTACAGAAGATGTTGTCAAGTTTACTAACCCACTAAAAATGGGCCTCAGCAAGGAACAAAGAATTGCGTGCGCCCTAGCCGCTATGAAAAGAATCATTCCCCGGTCTAGTAAGTTTAAGACCATTCACACTGACACGCTTGGAGGTAGTGGAGAGAACTGACATCGGCTAAGGAGTTACGCGATACATTATAGATTTTTCCAGATCACGTGGATTATTGATCGATCACATGTCAAATGCAAGTGATGGCGAGAAAAGATTCGGATAACCTGCACACTTTGATTCACTTGAGGTCAGCTTTTGAGATTTTCCTCACGCGTGGAGTGCGTATTGGTTAAACTTCCAAGATTCTAACCCAGCGCTACATTTTTTTTAAATTAGTGCTATTGTGTTCCTAAGTGTGGATTTTGGCCAGTATTTTTCAATTAAACGAGCACACTACTCCGATTAACTGGCGTCAACTAAGAGTTGTGCGAGAAATAGTGAAAGAATCAGTCAATTTCAGTAAGTTCAAAGTGAATATCGGTGGAAATTCTACGAAGTACACCAAATGAGCAAGGAACAACATTTAATCACTCACATCCTGGTCTAACCATTACGACCACGACGTCGGAAGCGGGTCCTTCGCCTTTGGAGTTTACTGCACTCACGCGTATCATGTAAGTGGCATTGGCTGTTAGGTGAGACAGGATGTACAATTGACCTGAGCCCGAGGTATTCGGTCTCACTTGAGTATCAGATGCCGTGGATCGCTGCTGACCTGCGCCAACATCCACAATATTTGTATCCCAGAATGCGAGTTCCAATTGCGGCCGATCGGTGTAGTATACACGATACGCCTGAAAGGGGAAGTTGAGCAAAAGCATTATTTTTTACACGGCGTGGTACAATTTGGTGCGAGCGAAGAGCAAAACAGCAATCGGTGCTGTAACTTCCAGAAAGAACTGCTGTGAGTTTATTTCGTTTCAGTTGGTGCGGCCGGTTNTGGTGCGGCGCGGTTTTGCGATTACTTAATTTTTGGTGCTCATCGTTTTGACAGTGGGTCAGCATTTACTGTCACACAGTTCCACCAAAAATGGGATTTATTATCGAGAAGCGTGTTATTGTTCTTCGACAAGATTAGTGAATATATCGTTTCTCTGTGCCGAGTTAGAAGTGGCTAATCAAACTGAACGTAGCCCTTCCAAAAACACTCTTCTAGCGTTAAGCGTGAATTGTTGCACTGAAACAACGGGAGAATGACAACTGTCGCGTGATGTGGTGAACTTTTTCCCCGGTTCGTTTCATACTTTGTGACAGCCGGATTTAATGTAGACAGTTCAGCCACCCACCAAGCGGGTGGCATAAATGATAAGCCTCAGAGATGTGCCAGCTCCAAATATCAAATAGGATGCTGACCGACATACGGCTGCATCTGTCAGAACTGTACGGATTGCACGCAAAGCGTGACAGATAAAACACTGTTTCTGACATCAAATGTAGTTTTAAACCGAACTGCATAAGGGTAGACTGTTGTTTGGCCCCGAGAACGACGTTCCACGATTCACGTTTCAACGTTTGTCGTTATTTGAGTCTCCGAGGGTCCTCGTTATTTTTTTGGATACGAATTCGTTTAACAAGGGCTGATTGACCCAGATGCCCTCCGTTCGTTATTACATTTTTCTCCTCGTACAACCGACCAAGCACACATCCAAGCAAACAACCAAACAGCCAACCAAGCAACCACTCACTTACTCACTCACTCAATCAATCGATGAATCAATCAGTAAACCAATCATTCAGTCAACCAGTCATTCAACCATCAGATCCCCAGTACTTCGTTTATCCAGTTATTCTTTCGCTTGCCTGTTCACTTATTTGATTATTCATCTATTCATTCACTTACTTATTCATTTATTTTTCGTTCATTCCTTCATTTCGGAATGAGCTGGTTACCTTATCGACCAGAGGTAATGTTTTTTTAGAACTTCCTATAGTGTTCGGGGGTATATGCAGGTTGGGCAAAACAGCAAAATAGGAGAGACAGTGAATCAATCCAGCATGGATTGAAATAGTTCCAGGCCGAAATCAGCTCGAACAGCGCTAAAAAGCTTTTGCGCCATGTGGTGTACGGTATGGTTTTTTTATTCCATGGTCAAAACACAGCGTGGTGGAATCGGTTGTGATCTGACGTTTCTGGAGCCGTAGTCGACCTTTCTCTAGAAATTCTACAGTCAACTGAATACGGGTCGCCGTCGGCACTTCAGATGCCATTCGAAAAATACTTCAGGATCACGATATTAAAACACTTTTCCGAATCGACAACACGTCACAACGACTCTTCCTGAGGGCTAAGGACCCAGTCGAACTGAAACACCGCTCAAACTGCGTCTACCAAATTCCCTGTGCAGAACGTCCAGCAAAATACATACGCCAGACAGCTAGGCAACTCCATGTACGGATCGCGGAGCACAAACGACATATGTGTTTCCCCCCAAGAAACCCAAAAGAGTTGAAAAAACTAGAACGACACTCACTCCACGCACTTGAGTCAAACCATCAAATCAATTTCGATGGTACATGTATACTACAGTCAGCATTCGAGTCACATGTGAAACGGACGTGCACCGAGGCCCTAGAGATCAGCACACAGCCGAACTGCATCAATCGGAGTGATGGTGCCAGTAGCCCGTCTACCTAGATTGGACTTAGTTCCTTACCTTAGCAGGCATAGTAACCAGATGTCAAGCGAGGGTGTCAAAAACGACGCATCACGGCCTGCACATCCTAGTCAGGCGCACACGTAATCACACGTACACACACACACACGCACGCACGCACGCACGCACGCTGACCCAATCGGACTGTCAACTGATCGCGGTGATGCACCAATCAGAAGACAGTGTAGTGGACCCGAATGTCGCTGCAGGTGAGTTGTATTCGGTTGTTTGTGAAAATCCTTGAGATAGGTCGCCCACGATAACCGGAACGTCAAATTGCAGCAACCAATTACACACGCTGTGTTTTGATTTTGATCTTATGATAAAAGAATTTCAGATTGAAATAGTCCCTGTAGAACGACAGCGAAGGAACGGCTGAACAACCCCTAGCAAACTTTGAAAAGAACCCTGATTTTCGATAAAAGGTGCTTGGGATTTGATAGATAGCTTGACATAAAGTACTCGTAATGCACTACTCATAAGGTTGCTGAGAATCCATCGACAGCCCACGACCGGTTTCGTCCTTCTTGGGGATCATCAGGTAGGCGCAGTCCCCGAGATTTCGTCAACCTTATGTGCTACTTGAACCTCAGATGCACGAAATTAGCGAAACGCACTCAAACGTTTGCAAGCATCACAAACGAGAGATTCAGCTGGGTTCCAGGTGGGTCTCCTGCAGAACCAAATTTGTTCGCTACATTTATGCGGATTAGAAGCGAAAAGACACGCCTGTGGGTCAGCAAGGGTCGAACGCTCAACCCTGAAGAGAAGTGGCACCTTCGGTTGATGGGGCATGCTGATTTTTATCCACCCTTGGCCGTGCTCTCCACTTATAGTAGGGACTTGCCATATTTTAACATCAGGTTCTTGGCAGCAAACAGTACTTAGTCCACATCCCATCGTTTATATCAAAAGTGGTTTGAAAGCGAAAGGAAGTAAATGATGTAACTTTCCCGGAACATAATCTACGATAACTCAGTCTTCGGAAAAAATGTGCTTCCAGTTATTTTCCCTGATATTTTAACTAAATGGTCTTAACTCACTCTAATCCATCCGTTTGCTTCCAGCGGAGGATCCCAGTAGACGGTTACTGCAGCGTTGGAAAAAGCTTGAGCGTGAACGTTCAGTGGCGGACTGGATGGAGCTGTTGGGCACGTAGTGTAATAGGTGACGTGGAAAAAAATGTTGTCGTAACTGATGATCGATCAAGTTAGATAAGCACTCAACTAAAGTACTCACATTAGTTTTTTTCGGGTTGACTATCAATCAGACCAGGTCAAGTTGAAGACCAACCCAACATCCACGCCTTTCTTTTCTACTCTGATAAGTGGATCATTGGTAGTGACTGACTGAGTAAAACTACTTTCCTAGAAGTTTGACGAATGTTAAGATACATCAGGATAGAAGCCTTTCAGACCAATTAAAGAGATTGAATAATACTTTAATTTGCTGAAAAGAACCCCAGGCAAAACGGATGTAACAATGCCCGTGACCGTTTGAATTATCATTCCGGAAAGCCGCAGTTTAACGGATGCGAACAGTGGACAATGTTTATGCGGAAGTCTCTGTTATTCTGTTGCCTTCCAGCCGGATGACAAAATTGAATGAATGATTGTGAAACTGCGTGATAGGCTACCAAAATGGAAATTTACAACGGAAACACACCCCTTTTCACATTGCGTTTTTCAAAATAAAGACAGACCTAGGGTAGTCTTGATGAGGGAAGTTTCACTTTGATTGTAAAACGTGCCTTTTGGCTGGATTCCACAAACCGCTTTTACTGGTGGGTAGATCACTACCTTACCGCAGAAAAATTCAAGATTTACTCGCAGAATCAGAAATGAATAAGTTCACACGACCAAGAACATTGATCCGGAGGGAACCAGTATGACGTCTTGGTTGTGTATTTCCGTCGGAATTTTGGGTTTATTCACATCGCTTGCTCATTTTTGATCACAATGAAATGTTGCCGAAATATTTTTCTGCAAAAATAGCTTGATCTTGCTACCGTCTTTCTAAAACTTAGGAATTCTGTCTCTGAATTGTTACTTGAAGCCAACTTGTGTCGAAAAGCCGAGAAACAACATATGACCGCCTCATTCTTGTTGAAGGATGCAAAGAATTCGCACCTTACAGGTTTCTTTGGAACTGCTTGGTAGCTGAATGCCTTGTCACTTGTCCACAGTTGGTGGATCAGTAACGCGCACAGAGAAGATGAAGTCTTGCTTTACAAATTCTACTGAAGTTGTGTTCCATTTTACTGCCTAGTGGCACACCTCACTTGACTACTTCGTCATTCATGCTGTAACTAAATGATCGTGTGGACTTATCTTTCCTCTCATTCAATAGTAGTTGAACTTATTTGATCACACTACATAGGTTGCGCTAGCTTGGCCACATGCTGCGTATGCCAGTCGACCGATTTCCTCGAAGGACTCTCTTCTCACAACCACGTGAAGGGTGAAAGAGAGCCAGAGGCGGTCAAACAATGCCTTGGCAGCGAAGTATGAAAGCCGTTACCAGCAAACTCAGCTGCGCTGGTCATTGCCATCTTCCTGGATGGAGACTCCGAGACGGGCCAGAGACATTGACAGACATGGTCCAGTCGGGGCCTCAATGACACTCCTGAATCCAAGCTATTGCCTTCACTGCATAGCTCCCTTCCCAACCCTCCTCCACTTGACAGCCCACTGACAGTGCTGGATTTATGCACCAATTTATCATCTCCCGCCTGCAATGCGCAGCTACCTACCCCTTCCCCCCCAACTCATCGGTGAACGAAACTGCGGCAGCTACAACCACTGTACGACGAGTACGCGGTTATTACAACTGACAGTTATGATGATGATGATGATGATGACGATGATGATTATGATGATGATGTTGCAACTTCATATTTATTTAAAATTGCCTCCAATCTTGAATGACTGCCTTCCCGGTTAACAATTCAAATGGACCGCCCTTTTTTGGACTGGTGGAATTGAACCCTATTTCAGTTTTACAAGATATCTATATTCTCCGTTTTTCTTACCACGCAGATCGTTTTTACCGCTCTGGTTATACTATTTTTGTACCAAATCCTTGGGCAGCCATATATTGTTTTAATTCATGAGTTTGAGACGCGGTTTCGTTCACGCGTTGACTGTTGATCCATATCGGCT